GTATTTATAATCATTCAAAGTGTGTATACATTTTTTGGGACACCCTGTATATAGGGTCTTTCTTCAATAAAATATACATTAACTCAATCAAATACAAATTTGTTTATATCTTAGCAAATTTTCCCTGTATTCTGAGAACACAATATAAGATGCCTGAACACAAAAGGGTTATTATAAAAAATTGTTTGACAAGTGAAAATGTTAACCAAAAGTAACGAAAATAGTAGTGTTAAAACGGGTCTATTTTCTACACCAGATAAACATACAGCACAAATTACATATAACAATTCATTTTAAAAAAATGGTGTTATTCACAATATATCAAATTATTTTATACACCTACTGAAGAGTTTGTTTTACATTAACCAATGACTAGACTATTTCTCCAGAAGCTTAATGAATATTGATTCTAAAATCTCTGATTACATAGCTTACATTTTCTGAAACAAACATTTTCTTGAAGCTGACAAGATCTTTTGATTAGACACTACTCATGTGAGAAATGGCTAGTACAAGCTGTGCATTATACTGAATTTAACCAGAACAGGTTCTAACTAAACTGTACAGTGTGCAACCGTAATATCAACAGAAGAATAAATTTGAAATGAAGATGTCATTGACATTAAAAGTCTCTCAAAAATAGTTTTACTTTTTTTTCCTAAACACACTACATACAATAAAAAGATGAACTAAATCATAGGTCTAAAAAATAAATACAAGCTATGTTGATCACAAGTTTAGAATGAAGCAGTAATAATACAACCTTTAAAACCAAACTGCTGTTGTTCATTTACCAGATTTATTATATATTTATTATTTAATACACACTAGTGATTATGTGCTTCAGTTAAAAATATTACATACATATTAGAGGTTATCAAATTTTGAATACCATAGGCAATCTTTAAAAAGAAATTATTACCTGTTTTCTGAACTTATTATGGATAAAGATTTTAATTTTAATTTTAAAAAAGGCTGGGGATTCTATATTTTAATCCAGTTCTTATAAATATATTATAAGTTGCAAAGTTTGGAATACAGGATTTCTAAGCTTGATCCCAGAACTTTTCAAGGATGGAATTATCTTTATGCCAGGACCCAAAAGCATTTTAATCTTACTATCTGATTTACAAGAAGCATGGGTATTCACCCACACTTACAAAATGTGCTTCATAATTATTAAATGCAAGCAAGACAACAAGCTAAAGTAGAGGTTCCCAATTGTTAATCTACAGACTGGTGCTGGCCCACAAGGAGATTTTAGCCAGTGCACAAGATGTTTGATGAAAAAAAAAGTGTTTCAAAACACATCTAATGAGTGTACTGTTTTACAACGTAATTAAAAAGTATTTTAAAAAGTTAATACTGCATTAAGTAGCCATGGAAGTTTTTGCTTCAGAAATAATTGATCCTCAGCTGGAAAAAAAAGTGGGGAACTACTCAGATGAAGTGCTTTTAAATTAGAAATTATAGAACTAATAAGCAAACTTCCAGCAAAAAGTACTCAGAACTAATATTAAAAAATAAACACACTATGCAATGTATAAAATATTCAAATAGATAAATATAAACTGTCACTATCAGGCAATTAAAAGATGAGATCTGAATTCTACAAGTCTACACTCACATCTATTAAAAGCAAGTGAAACCATTTTGCTGTATTTATCATAAACTAAAAACAGAGATTTCACCCCTTTACTTTGGCCTTAGAATTCATAGTGGCTGTATTAACCTCAAATGTTATTTATCTAACCTTCCATGACATTGCTAATACGTAACCTTGCTAATCATAACACATACAAGAATTGTCCCATA